CCTATGCAAGGCCTCACCCTCCCTGGGGAGCAGAAAGCTTTTAGGGTTTTAGTGGGGAGGGGGTGATTGGGGAAGAGGGGAGGGAGAGGGAACTGGGGTTGACATATAAAACAATCTTGTTTCTAATTCAAATTTATAAATGGAAAACAATATAAAATCTCTTGTTTGACAGTTTTAGCTGAATGTAGGCTGGACTAGATCAACAAATGTGAACATTTTGTCATACAAAGATGTACTGTGTATATAAAAGATTGCATATTGATACAACAAAATCTGGGGGAAGGGGAACAGGCAATAAGTGCTAGGTAGGGATGAGGCTGGAGGGCTCATGATTTCAGCCAAGTCTCAGTGTTGGGTAATATAGCCACAACTCTGTCTCAGCATCATTTATGGTAACATTGAGTTACAGAAAATTGCAGTACTTGGTTAGGTCCGTTAACTAGTAAACAGAAGGCTATAGTTTAAGCTCAGATACTCTTAATGCCATGCTCTTCACTTCTTTTGATTTTTCTGGTGGCCTCAGTTTTCTGTCCCTCTACCTTCAATATGAACTATTATAATTTCGCATTAATTAACAGGTAGTTTGAGATATATTAGGCTTGTGTTTTTCATAGCTTTTTAAATATTTACAAGCCCTTCCCTCTGTCTGTTCTTCACATCCCTGTTAAGTGAGCAAAGATGCCAGGGTTTGCAGCCAGAGACTGGTGTCAGGCATTGTCCTCCAGGGTGGAACCTGTAGATCTTTGTGGTCCTGGTATTAGTTGGGGCTCTCCAGAGAAGCAGAACCATATATGGGTATGTTCATAGACACATAAGAGTGCCTGTACACACACACACACACACACACACACACACACACACGGGAGGGATGGGAGAGAGACAGGGAGAGAGAATGAGTGTACATGATTGACTAAACTGATGGAGCCCCTGGCAGATATGCACGTAGGTCAGCAAACTGGAAGTTCATGCTTAAAATGAGCTAGCACATACCTGCCATTGCAGTCTGGAGGCTTGTGGTCAAGGAGAGGCAGTGGACCAGTCCAGCCCACATGCCAGCAGCCTAGAGACCTGACAGAGCAAGTGTTTTAGTTCCTTCTGTTGAATGTATAGGCAGAGGACATCTGAAGTCTAAGCACAGAAGTGGTCAGGCAAGGATGACTTTTATTCCTTAGAGAAATAGTTGGCATTCCTGTTCTAACTAGTCCCCCTACTTTTTTACTGTTTGGATGGATGAGGCTCACCCACCTTGGAGAAGGATTTCTTCTTTATTCCCTAGACTGACATAAACTTTTATGTCATTTTTTTTTTTTTAAAGCAATCACTGAAACCGAAAATGCCTGGTAACTTCATGGCCCAGTCAAGTTGACACAAAATTGACAATCATTGTCCCCAAGCATGTAGTTGTTTGCAACAAATATGTGTGAACTTGAGACTAGGCATTTAAAACCTTGCAAAAAAGTTAGACTTCAGGGACACTTTAAACATGGGATCTGCAGACTCATCCTGTTGAGCATGGTGTAAATTGACTTGTTTAGGTGGAATAAAGAGTTGCATGTGAGGCAGCTTTATAGCAGGTCAAGACTGTACTTGTTGGATAGCAGGGGGAATAGCTGGGTCTTTACACCTGATAGCATAAGAAAACCTGATAGCATGGTCACAGTTGTTTAGTTATACGATGGAATCTAATCCTGGGGCAATTGATGATAGAATCTAACCCATAAGACATACTGGAAGAGAAGGCCATGACTACAAGGTTGTGACTTGCTCTTTACTGTTGTTAGCAAAGGTCTGTTGAAGCTCACTGAAGAAAACTACGGACCAAAACATCAAGAACAAATAAAATAATCCAAATAAAAGAGCAGGTTGTCAGCATGGCAAAGCAATGGGGCTTCCTAGCACTCATATCTAGTTGCTCAGTGATGGAATTACACATCCAGATTACTGCTGGGTTCTGCGGGGTTCCTCTGCATTTCTCCCTCTCTCTCTCTCTCTCTCTCTCTCTCTCTCTCTCTCTCTCTCTCTCTCTCTCTCTCTCTCTCTCCTCTCCCCCTTCCTTCCTTCTTTCTTTCTTTTTTTCTTTCTGTCTCTCTCCCCCTTGTTTCTCTTCTTCTCTCCTTCTTTATTCTTTGTTGTTGTTTTGTTTTTGTCTTTTGTTTTTTCAAGGCAGGGTCTTACTATGTATCTTTTGCCATCCTACAAATCACTATGTAGACCAGGCTGGCCTCAAACTCCAGGATATCTGTCTTATCTGTGCTGGAATTAAAGGTGTGAGCCACCACACCCAGCTTCCCTCCTTGTCAAAAGAAGAAAGTAATTGGAAAGCCAAGGGCTTGTGCAAGGTGATGTGGCTTCAAAACAGACTAGAAATGACACTGGTGTCCACTATTGACACATCTTACATTCCAAGCTTTAGGAACAATATTATTTTTGCCTTCTAGGTGTCATTTTTCCCACCAAGCATTGCATTTTTTCTTTTCTGTGTACTTATAGGTGACAAGAAAACTTATGCAAATGTTTGAGAACTAAGTTTAGTAAAAACCAAATGGGACCCAGAACAGGCTCAAAATGGACTCAACAGGAATGTCATTTTCCATAAGCACATGAATACAGGTTGTAATTTTTATAAACAAGCTTCTGGGATGTGAGGAAAGGAGCAAGAGGATAGGGAAGGTCCCTGGTACTGTACTTGCTTTCTGTGATTTCCTGTTTGTGCACCTTGACACAGCGAAGGTCAGGCATATGATGATGGGAGATGCCCTATGTCAAAATTATGTCAGAGGAAGCCAAACCTGCTTTTACACTGTAGTCCCATGCTCCGGGCATCTGCTCATTTTAGCATGTTAAATTCTTTTTTGTTGTTGTTGGGTTGTTCCCCCCCCCCCTCCCGAGACAGGGTTTCTCTGTATAGCTTTGGAGCCTATCCTGGCACTCGCTCTGGAGACCTGTCTGGCCTCGAACTCATAGAGCTCTGCCTGCCTCAGCTTCCCGAGTGCTGGGATTAAAGGCATGCGCCACCAACGCCTGGCTAACATGTTAAATTCTATATGCAATTCTTTCTTAACCTCTTTGGGATGAGGGTTATAGGAACCCCCTATGTGCCAGGTGCTTCCTAGGTAGAGACACTGGCCTTTTTTTCCTTTGATCTCTTTTTCAAGCCTCCAAGTGTATTACTATGCTACCATTTATGTTTTTGTTTCACAGAAGGGATTAGAAGCTCACAGCATTAAAGTAAATTGTTAGGTTCCTTTACTAAGTTTCCAGAATCCCTCAGGACCTTGGGTCTTCAGAGCTTCCCGATTTCTGCAAATCATATCCCTAATTCTTTCAGGACAGAAAAGGCCCCCCTCAGGGTCACAGACATGTGTGACATCAAGATCTTATTTGCTGTTCTTCCTATTGTGAAATTTCATAGTGTCAGTTCCCTTGTCTATACAGGCGTAGTGACTACCTTATGCCCTAGTAATTAAGGCATTGAGTGTGTGTAGAATGTAATGTGCAAGAAACCCCTCTCACTCACTGCATGCCTTGGAAGTCTGTCTTTTTTTGCTAAGGAAATGTTCATCTTTGTCTAGCCTACTCTAATATCCATGTTCACTAAGCTATTTTTCTGCATACCCCCATGTTTTTTAAGACTGGAGCTCAAACTCTGTGTATCTGGGGATGATCTTGAACTCTTGATCCTCTTAAATGCTGGGGTTATGGGTATTCACCAACACTAGGTACATGAAAGGATGCATGCACCTAGTGTTGTCAGGTAAGCACTCTCTCCACCAAGCTACAGCCCTAGTCCTGTGCTATTTAATTCTCTTTGTGGAACCAGACATGGAGGCTGACTTGAAGCTGGGGGGTGATCTTATGAATAACCAGCCCAGTTCCAGTGTACCTCTTACCCACTTGTGATTTTTTTGTCTCTTGCTGATTCTACCTCAATCTTTGATTTGTAGTTCAGGGAAGAGGAATTTAGTAAGCCTTGTTTATTGCACTGATTGGATCAGGAGTGTAAGCAGCTAACCCTAAAGTGGTTTGGGGTTAAATAAATAGCATTATCTGTAAAAGACATCAAATACCCTTGGCAGAGGCGACTCAACATGGGCAGCACAGGTGAAATACATGGTGTGTGATTCATCCCCAGCTTTGATCCTCAAGCTCTTCGAGCCACACAGCCTTGCTTGAACAGCGTGGAACCTCAACCTCAGTAGGACAACTTGGGTTTGTGGAAAAACACAAGTGCATTTTAGCAAGCTAGGGAAATTTTCATTGTCCAGCCATGAGAGTTATGGATTTGAAGCCTCTGAGATAGCTGCCCTTTGTCTGGACACTGGGGTATCAACAGAGTGGAAACAAACACAAAGGAGTGGCAACTTTGGGCGAGTCTTATTTCTCTGACACTCCTAATAGTCAGCATGTATTGGGTATTGACCTTATGCAAGGAGGTATGCTAATTGCCTTGGGGACGTGGTGTTTTTCAAATTACAAAAATTACCTAATAATCAGCCTTGAAATCACATCAGTAACAAAATACAGGTAGAAGAGCTCTTCCCTTGGGGGGTGATACTTTCAAAACAGGGTTTGGAAGGTAGCTTAGGAGTTTACTTAGGAAGAACTTTATTCTTCTCTTTTTCTTTTGATCTCTTCTACACTCTCAAGCTCTCTATCTCATACCTTCCATTCATCCTTATCCATATATGTTATTTGATTTCTTGTTAAGAATGTCCACTTTCAAACATGTTGTATGGAGAGGAATGCATTGTGTTTGACTATTGGAACAGTACCAGGGGTGTCTTTCTCTAAACAATATCTTGAATTTTATTGCCATAATGTGCCCCTCTGTTCTCACTTTTTTCTGCATTTCAAAATGGGTGCTCTGATTTGTCATTCACAGTCCCTCTGCTTTCCTGCTACACAGTGCAATTGTGACAAGAGCCTGGGGGCGGTAATGCTGGGGGTTTCCTGGAGGTAAGCTTGTGATGCTAACATTTCCTTGGTCTCTCCTCCCTTAGATGGGAAGCCTGTGTCTCTGTCTCCCCTGGAGTCCCAAGCACACAGTCCCAGGTACACTGCCTCCAGCCAGCGGGATCGGGAGAGCCTAGAGGTTCGCGTTCGAGAGGTGGAGGAGGAAAACCGTTCTCTGCGCAGGCAGCTCAGCCTGGCCCAGGGTCAGGTCCCTGTTCACCGCCGTGGGAACCACTCCAAGACCTACTCCATGGAAGAGGGAACAGGGGACAGTGAGAACCTTCGGGCTGGCATCGTGGCAGGCAATAGCTCTGAGTGTGGGCAGCAGCCAGCTGTGGAGAAGTGTGAGGTAAGGCATGGGATTTGGAAGAAGTGGCTCCTCAGATCCTCTCCAGATGCCTCCCGAAAGCACACAAAGGGCCTAGAAAGCTGGATTTCTTAATCCAGGGCAAAACCAGACTGGACATAAATGTTGATGAATGGCCACAATGTTTAACCTCATTGTGTCTCGGTTTCTGACAAACAGGGATAAGAAGACCTACTCCACAGCAGCATAACTGATAGAACCTGTTTCTTTTTCTTTCATTAGGGAATGCTCAGGTTTCCAAACCTTGTCTTCATCCTGGGAACTCGGTTCTTTACACTGTAGTAGGAATGGCTCACCCAAAGGTAGAGTTCCATTACACAGTCGAGTTAGCCCCCACTTTTTTTTCTCTCTGTGCAATTGAGAACTACAATGCTGCTGTGTATCAAAAGCCACCCTTGGAGGTTCCATATCTTAGTAACATTTTCTTCCTGGGACGTACTTCCTTTCTTAGTGAATCTTTGATATCTTGTAATTGTTACCTTTAATGTATCTGTAATCTTCCTGTAATGTACCTGCCAGACCCAACCTCCTTTTTTATGTGTTTATATGCACTGAGAATATTCATGAGCATGCACTTGAGTGCACACACACACACACACACACACACACACACATCCACACTCATGCTCATTTCCTGCTTTTTCTGCTTCTTAATGTGTAGATGAATTACAAAGTGCTGCTAGCACTTGTGAATAAGAACTCAGGTAGTTTTTGTTTTGAGTACTTGAGCACTCTTGGAACTTGTAGGTGCCTTAGCAGTGAACATCCAAGGTTGATTTTTGTATTATGGAGGTCATTAAAACTATAACTAATGCCCAAGGACACTAAGTGTGCTTTCAGTTATAAGGAAATTGTATCCCTTTACATAAATACAGATAATGCTGGCTGAGTTTTCTCATGTTGCCTCCTAGAACAAAGAATATTAGGCTTTATCCACCCTGAAGTCACAGCTCATTTTAAGCCATAACATCTGCCCCATGAATGGATTTATTAATGTCACATTGAGTGGAAACTTACTAAATAATGGAGGTGGACTTACATAAAAATCTAGTGCCTAGAGAGGAGATCTTAAAGAAGCAATTATAAGGAGAGTATCCTAAGATTTCCAGTGTAATGCAAACCTGATTGGAACATACTCTAGTGGGTTGGTGTCTAGAAGTTGGCTGTTATGTTTTGCTTTTGTTGCTGTGATTAAAATAAAAAAAAAAATTCCCCAACAAAACAACTATAAGAGAGACCATTTCTTTGGCTCACAGTCTCAGGTCATTGTCTATAACTGTGGAGAAATCTAGGTGCCAGGAACTTGATATAGTCAGACACATTCTTGGTCAAAAGCAGAGTTTCATGTGTTCAGCTGGCTCTCTCCTTTTCACCTAGTTCATTAAATGGTACCCACCTACAATGTGAGTTTTCTTTCATCTGGCTAGATCCCACTGCCCTTCTCTGCACAAAGAAACATGAAGATGCTGTATTAGTTATAAGCTGTTGGCTGGCAACTTGGGCTTCTTATTCTTAACCCTTAATTACTAACCTATGTATTTCCTCATGGCCTTATCTTACCAGAGATAAGGTCTGGGCCTTCTTACTCCCTTGGGGTCTATATCATGTCTGTTCAGCATCTCTGCAAAGAAGAGAAGAAATAGCCATTTCCTAATTGTCCCTGCTATATACTGATTTCTGCCCTGCTACATAGCAGGATCACTTGGTGACTTCTCTTTGCTATATTTCCTAGAATTCTCCTCGACTCCTAGTCCTACCTATTTTGCTTCCCTATTGGCCAACAGTTCTTTATTCATCAGCCAATAAGGCAAATATATACACACAAGAACATTTCCCATCATCTCTTCTTTTCTGTCTAAATAAAAAGAAAAGTTTCACATAGTAGAACTATATATAACAAAACTGTTATGAAATAAGAAGTACAGTCACAGTATTTAATCCATTAACATTTCGGATGTTTTAAAGAATATATTCTATCATCGATCCTATCTTTGTGAGTCTAAATTCTTATATGTAACTTATCATTAATCCCAATTAAGGAAAACTATAACCATAATTATCTGTCCTCTACTTAACAGAAGGATAGTATATAAACTCTAGAATTGACAGAGATAGCTTAGAGAGTCACCTTGAGTTCCTCTTTAATGTTGGGACATCCATCTTCAGCCCATAGGCCACAGTGTGTCTGGCAGACTTTTCAGCAAAGCAGGAAATTTTAAACTGTCCATCTGTTTTAGCAGTTTATCAGTCATTTTTTCTGTTTCCTGCAGAATGTCTGGCAGACTCCTCCATGAAGCTGGAACCCTTCAGGACTTTCAATCTTGTTTTGCAAGTTCAGTAGTCACTTTCCTGTGGGTCCTGTATGTCCAGTTTATTAAACAGTCCAGACAAGAGCAATTTCTTACTCAAATGTCTAATTTTGCCATGTTGAAAGCATACTCCATTAAGAGTTTCTTCAATGTCCATCTTCCTCTCAGACATAATTGGTATGCCAAAATCAGTTGTGTCTCACTGTCAAGAAAAACTCTAAACCATTTTAATTGCCATATTCTAAAGGTATTTGAAAGATTTGAAGATTATCCATGTAAAATATATCTCTGTATATCTAGAAAACCTAATTGACATAAGTTTCTATTATTATAGGTAACTATATACAATCTGGATTTAATTATGCATTACATTTTTTTGTTTTGTTTTGTTTTGGTTTGGTTTTTCAAGACAGGGTTTCTCTGTGTAGCTTTGGAGCCTATCCTGGCACTCACTCTGGAGACCAGGCTGGTCTCGAACTCACAGAGATCCACCTGCCTCTGCCTCCCAAGTGTTGGGATTAAAGGTGTGTGCCACCAATGCCTGGCTATTCATTACATTTTTAGATGAGCTATATAAACACAATACCTAAACAATAGGAGAAATATACATATCACAAAATTGATCTTAAATTTGTATCAATGAAAGACAATCCATACCAATACAAAGTATTCATTTCTATATCAGATTTCCCTTTTTTACTTTAGAAGGAGATTAGCTGTGACCATTAACCATTTATATCCAACTCCATTTAAATGAAAACAAACATTTATAAATAATAACTAGGAATGTGGGCATCATTCTCTCCAAAACTACTTCCTGCTGTTGGGGGCTCTGTCTTGGGGATTCTAAGAAGACCCAGAAATCCTGGCTGTATTGGTCTGTAACTGCAACATCTCAACTCTTTTGGGATGTTGAATCACATGGGCCACTGCTTCAGGGGATCTTGCTTGTTTAAACCATATTAGTCTGGAGGAATCCACACCTTTTTATTATTACCTGTGGGAACACAAATAAAATCTCTTTTCCAAAGTAACATTTTTAAAATATATAAATTGGATTAATCCAGCAGCATTTATTTTAGCAGTTGTTGCTATTTCCTCAGCCATCGAACAATTCAAAGACAGCACAATAGCATACAATATCCAGACTCTTTGTGTATTTTCCATCTTTACTTGGCTTACTTATTTATTATTAGTCTATTTCTTTTATCTTTTTCTTTTGTGAAACAGGGTTTCTCTGTGTAACTTTGGCTGCCCTTGAACTCACTCTGTACACCATGATGGCTTTGAAAATCACAGAGATCTGCTTGCCTCTGCCTCCCTGAGTGCTGGAATTAAAGGTGTGTGCCACCATACCCAGCTACTCTATTTTTTTTTTTCCTTTAAAAAAAAAAACTTTCTCTGTACCTTTTCTATTCTCTACCAAGCCTATGCATTTTTTTGTTCGTTTGTTTTGTTTTTGAGACAAGGTTTCTCTGTGTAGCATTGGAGCCTATCCTGGCATTTGCTCTGGAGACCGATCTGGGCTCGTACTCACAGAGATCCGCCTGCCTCTGCCTCCCGAGTGCTGGGCTTAAAGGCGTGCGCTACCAAAGCCCAGCTGCCTATGCATATTTTTTAAACACACAACCTTTACCCATTTTTGTTTTTTTGGGTTTTTTTTTTCCGTTTTTAATCTGCCTTTACTGTATATCTTTATCTTTCTCTGACCACATGACTTTTAACTGCCAAACAACATTGCTAAAATTAAAGCCACAGCTGTTTTAGCCAATGTTTATCCAGGGTGTTGGCAGTGCATTTATTACCAGGACTGAGAACTGTGCTCACCACCTTTCTCTATGCTGCCATTAAGCAGCATGCTACTGACTTGGAGATGTGGTCACTGCCACTGTTCAATACTCATAAACATCATACAGTTGTTAACCGGGCCTCTTAAAAGATCTGTGCGGTTTTCCCATTTATGCTAGGTCAGGAAACCTCTCTTTAAGGAGCTGTGAGAGTCTCTGTTTGTCTCTAGCAAAACAAAGCCCACCTGTGAAAGTGCTGCTACCAAGAAGCCATGCTTGTCTCTGTTCTTTTGTTTCTAAAATCTCTTTTTAAGCTTTTGTCAGGTTTAAATGGAAATTTGTGCCGCACATTGTTGATGTCATTTTGTAATGTGAGTTTTCTTTGGCCCGGCTAGGTCCCACTGCCCTTCTCTGCCACAAAGAACCATGCAGATGCTTTATTAGTCATAAGCTGTTGGCTGACAACTTGGGCTTCTTATTCTTAATCCTTAATTACTAATGCATGTATTTCCTCATGGCCTTATCTTACTGGAGATATGATCTGGGCCTCTTACTCCCTTGGGGTCTACATCATGTCTGCTCAGCATCTCTGCAGGGATGA